GCCGCTGTCTAGTGCTGAATGCTGGCTTTCAATGGCTCTCTAACTGACATCAATCCGGAGGAGCAAACCCAAAGCTAAAGACACAAAACACTCTCCCACTAAGCGATAAGCTTGACTTTTGACTACGGTAAAATAGTAATTAAAATTTTAACATTGTGAAAGAGGAGTCACACGTGTAACACTGATCTTCTTCCTATGAAATATGCTCACAACTCTGTATTTAAATGATGCGTTATGCACTTGACGCACACTTGAGTTTCATTCGAAATATGGGCCGTGAAGTAATTTCTGTCATAGTGGATTAGTGGAAAATTTCACCACGAGTTGGTATCATTTAGAGAACCGTTTGAAAACCCAGGAGTCCTGAAAGGCATCTGCTTCATCCTTGCCTAAGACAGGTTACAAGACGAGCTAGTAGACCATCCAACAAAACTGGGACCGGATTCGATGACCCATGATCTCCAACTTCAGCCAATTCGCGATTTAGATGGCATGACTGCCAGCCAATATGGATTGTTTTAAAGAATTCATAACCCATTAAGTCGTCTGTAATTAAACTGTAATTTCCGGTTTTAACGCATCTTACTTCCAGGTAAACTAACACTCTGAACTCATACTTCCCTCCGTTGGTGAAACCATCCAATAACATGCATGTATACAACTGACAGGAAGAACTACCTATGAAATCCTGAAGTGGTCATTAGGTCCTAAATATACTGACAGCTGTAAATCTAGGGGTAATATCAACAAAGACTTAGACATTATAATTCTTACAATGCATTGGATATATCTGACAGACTTTGAAGATCGATCAATAATAAAATAATTTTCAGAATGCTTTACAGTGTTGAATTTCTAGATCTAAGAGGGATTAACTATCTATCAACTTTAAGAATGCGTTTATATTGGGATCAGAAGACACTTATTTCGTCCTACAGAGAAACAAATAATTGAATGTACTTTCATTTTTGTTAATCATTTCAGTTACACCTAAACATAGCATTTATTACTGTAAACAGTGAAACCTCTGATTAACAGTCTATGATTATAATAAGAGTTTCTTAAATATTTAAAGTTCGCAAAACTGAGATAGTGATCTATCGATAATAGGGATCTCAGTATGAATATTTGAGTATTATACACCGTAAATGTGTATTTACAGACTCAGTTGGTGACACTAAATTAGGGCTTAGACATAAAAGTCAACTTAAACATTAGTTCGGCAATAGATTTCACGGAATACAAAAGGTGTCTGCAATATATGACTTTTTTTCCTTCACGTTCACAGTGGAACATAGGGCTTCAAGCTAGAAGTTCCTGTAGCAGTGTTTACATTTACAGCATGAGGTTGCTAGTATTTCCATTCACTGTCGAATTTCAGCACCCATATTATCTCTTTTAATTCAAATGCATAAATGCCACTGTACAGCTATGGAAATGAAATCTTCAAGAAAAAGATTTACCTAGCCAGAATCTTTGTTTTGCTTAGAAACTTGATATCTGAGATATGTTCCTGAAGGTTTATTATACACTTGTCTGTAAGAAATGTAAGAGTACGTAAAGGAAGGGAACATTTTTCGAATCTTTGTCATAATGTGTCATGTATTCTAGGCACCACTTAATATCAGTGTGACTAAAATTAATTAGAAATACACAAGCTACTTATAAGCAATTGTAAGTAGATACTCGTCACTGCATAAAATGTTATACTGAACTTTTTCACTTGCAGACACTTGGAAGTTTTCATTTAATTCAGTTTAGACTTCCCGTTGACTGATTAAACTGAAGTGTTCAGCCTCAGACTGACATGTTGGCTCCTTGTGAGAATGTTTCGACGATGTATGATTATTTAACTTGAAGTAATATGGTTGAATTAGGATTGGTGTTTGAAACGATGGGTACTGGATTCGAGTCACGGTGGGAACAAGAGCACTCATTAGGGAATGCAGATGCATCCAGATGATGAATCCCAAAAAGGAGGGTGAAATGTGCATCCTGGATTCCACTGCTAGTCACCAGCCACCAAATTATTCTGAAGTTTTCCACTAGAGTGATATTTATATAATGAATAAAGAATTTAGGTCTACAAAGAGTAGAGTTTCTCAGTGACTAAATGAGTGTTAAATTTAGTGACTGTGATTGCACAACTAGTGAAATCTCTCTCTCCTTCTTTCAAACTTCACTCGTCCCGAGCTGTTCTTATTTGGGACATATGCGCTTAACCAATAATAAGGGCTGTCAGCTTAAAACTTGGGCTACCCAAAACCTCCATCTCTATATTACGTATAATTTCTCTTATTCACTTTGTTTAAGTTTGGTAAAATATGACCTCTAACATTATTGTTTACACTGGTGAGTATTTAAAACATTTACAACCTCTTTATTGGCAAATTTATATGAAACATGAGAAACGGCATTATCCAACTTTACGGAAGGCAGATCATTCCAATACACGAGATGACTGTTCCTCAGTGGTGTCCTTCCTTCACAAAATAATTGGCAATCAACAAAATGTTGTATATTACTCGAAGAAGAGAAAAGAAGAGATATCGTAATGATGGATTAGTTTGCACTTCAGGTTGGATAGATAGAACTGTGTCACACGATCTACTGTCAGTCAGTCAATTAATGTTTTATAAAACACAAAATAATCGAGCAAAGAATATTCTTTTCGATAAATTCCTCTTCCGGCTCTACAATCTTATCATTAGGCCGGACTCTGTTACGGCGTAGAGATTTCCAATAAGATTTAGGGTACCGGTTTGTTTCAATACACTGGTGGATAAAGTCAACAGTAGTCTTTGCTTCGCTGAGCCTTGAGCTATACTTCAAATACTCGTTGAGTACTTTTAACGCAAAATGATGCTCAGAAGATTTCAATTTGGCAAAAAATATTCATTCAGACATCGATAAAACACAAAATAATCGAGCAAAGAATATTCTTTTCGATAAATTCAAGGCCGGCTCGATTATTTTGGTGCTTTATCGATGTCTGAATGAATATTTTTGCTAAATTAATGTTTTATTTGAAGATGCTGGACGAGGAGAAAATATGATGCAATAAACTCCGCTGAAGACTTTGTACATTATAGAAGCACTGTTCGGAATAAAGCTATTGATTTGAATATGACAAGTTCATATGCTTTAAAACCATACCAGTTGGATTATACTCATCTACCAATACAAACTGGATGGAAATTAGACAGGTTGGCTGGGGGTGTTATGAAGTATTATTGTTGATATGCACTATCTCCTGCATTCCAATTTACAGTGTAGCATCTCGAATGAATCATGTGTCTGTTGGGTGTAAGACCACATTTTACACAGATTTATTGGAAGGTTATATGGTGTTTATGCTTGTTTTCACTGGTGCTAGGACACCATAACTAGATCGACTTCATAGCCCAGTAACAGTTTATTTACTACTGAACTAGAAATTTAACTCACACTACTAAAAAGGTTTCTATCAATACAGCCAAAATCGTTTTCATTATCCATGCTTACACTACAGTGGGCTGAAAAACGCAGAGTACTCAAGAGTGGGCCTGGTGGTCATTTCCACCTCCTTCCCAAAGCACTGACTTGGTAAGGGTAGCCAGATAAAGAAGAGAGTTATCCAGTTAACTAATAAAGGTTAAGCTTCATTGTCCATTTTTTAAACAACACTGATTTCTGGTAAAGTTATCTGAAATTATCTCTTTTGGACAAAAGTGAACGTGAATACACCCGACCACTACAATCGATGGAGTCAGCGTTTACGGGACTGTCTCTTATTCTATTACAGCTTCTTGGGCTCTGATCATCCACAAACTCATTTAGGTGGAGTGATAGACAGATGTTTGGCCTTAAAATAAATTCTGCGGTTAGTTTAGTAACCAAACTCAGGGTTGTAAATGGACATTAAACCACTCTGTGAATTTTATTAGCTGTTATTCTCACTGGACTAGTCTATCTCTTATCTTTTGTTGGGTGGGTCCTGGGGAGGTCATAAGCAAATAGTGACCACATCAGAATTAATGTTAAGCCAATTCTATATGTTTCACAGACTTGACATGTCATCGAAAGCATTTGCAACAGGCTTCAGACTTTCATCAACAGTTGCCTTCGCTCCATACTGAAGATAAGATGGTCGGAAAGAATTAGCAACAAAGAACTTTCAAAACGAACCAATCAAAAACCTGTAACGCAACGCCAAAAGTAGATGAAGATGACGTCGCGCGTCAGGCTAAGCCTCAGGCCGAACTCGAATGGGAAACAGAGAGTTGGGTGTCCGAAGGTGAAATCAAGGAGATTAAAGCTTATGGGTGGTTGCGGAGCCAGGTTAAAATGACTGTTCAGAATGGGATAAAATGGAAGCGCTATGCTCCACTGGGAACCCAATGGAACAATATTCTGTCTTCGAGACCAGTTACTCATTTCCTTTCCGTATCGAACACAAGTCGCAGCATTATTAATGATAACCATATCGATTCAATGACAGTGGAGTGACGTGCAGTTTCAAAGGAAAATCTTAGTGCTTCTTCACCTTCCATTTATTCTAAGTCATAAACAATGAACTAACAGAATTTAAAATTCATGGGCCTTTGGACCAGGTCCCAGTTGTCTACGAGATCGCCTTGTAACAGGGAGGTCCTGGTCTCGAATCCTGGCGGTGGGTACGTACTGATGAACATTTTGAAACACTAGGACGAAACTGCTGTCTAGCAGTAGTGTCAGCTGGTTTTCTAATGGTTCTCTAACCGATGTCAGCTCATGATGAAATCGCATAACTGAGAAAACTGTTTTTTGTGATATGAGACACTTGAAGTAGCACTCAGAAACGCTTATCTACATTCCCACCTCTTCATTTTGAATTTAACTCTGTGGAGATGTTATCTAGGGAAATCAGTGAAAGCTTCACAATTAAACTGTTCAGTGCAAAAAACCCAGCAACACGTCATTACAGGAAATCCAAAGACAGAAAATACTATTTCAAATATCAGATATTATTACCATAACAAGCATGATGTTAATAATAATAGCCTAACTTCATTTATAAAAGTAAATGTGGAAAGTAGTTATTACAACAGATCGAGGAAGCACAATCAACATTGTTCAGATAATCATTGGCTAGTACTTTTTATGAAAGTAATTAACAAGGGTGGGGTTGGGGGTGGGAAAGGGATGGGATTACACATAAATGACATGATTGGAAACTTTCAAAGTTCACATGATCTCATTAGTTGATAGGTCACTATTGAAAGTCAGCAATTCATTTGTTTATTAATACTCAAAACTACTAGACCTGTAGTAATAAGGCAACACCTCCCATAATCCAACGTGATGGCTTCTCTTTAGTCTTCATATTAAATGTCCACACATAAGTGGGACCGCGTTGTTTTGTTTTGTACACAGGACAGGCGTAGGTGTTACGTAGATCTTGTCTGTCAACTGGAATAGCCTTCAAAAAGATAACTGGTAGACTCGGTGCTAATTCTTTTAGTCTAGCTTCGGCCATCATATTAGTTTGTACATCCCATCTAGCGCCTTCCATGAAAAGACCGTGGATATATGCACCTTCTCTTGGCGGTGCAGTCATTTCATCTTTCGTCTTTTTAGTTACATCACATTGAAGTACCATACGATCCAGTGGCCATTCATTTTTTCGTGCTGTCTGTTGCATAATAGCGGTTAAAAATGACTGTGGATTAAATAAACCACCCAGCCATACAGTGTTAGGCAGAGCGAAATCGTTTGTCCAAGCTTCTAATTCTTTAACTCTTGACAACATATCGGCATACCATATACCTAATGGACACATACTTGGATAGGCACGTTTCTCCCATTGAGCTGGTACACTGTCAATAATAAGGGAGTTGGATAGTTCTTCCATTTCTGGGGTTGTAGTCAGTTCACCTTTTAGACCAAGTGTTAGTTCTTTCAGTGACCGACGCATTTCTTTAATCAATATATTCATACGTTCACATTCTTGGAAGGCGACAACAACATACGGTGTACGCTCTTCTGGTGGCACTTTACCTTGTAGTTCTAACATGTTAAAATCTTCTGGCAGTTTGTCGATAATTTCATCCAGTACACTTTGCAGTTTTTCTTCTCTACTTATCCCTGAACCACTACCAGCACCGGCATCACGAGGTTGCATTTCAAAAACAGTGCGGAATAGTTTTTCAGATGTGTTTGTTAGAAATTCCATCTCAGCGTTTGGATGTAATCCATAGAGATATGGAGATTCTGATGGTAGAAATTCGTCAATATACTGGTGGTAACCTTTATAATCGGTATTTTGTGGAGTTTTGAAATTCGGTGCTAAATAGTGATCTCCATCTAACATTTCAGGGACTAAGTATTCTTCTAAGTATGTTTTGCACAGACGCCGATCCCAGTCATCTGTAATATGCCCACCGTACATAATATCACCGAATAAATATCTTAAATCTTCCCAGGGCACTTTGCTATTCGCCTCCAAATAGTTGTATAACACGCTAACACTGATAGTCAAGTCACCTGTATTAAATGGATAAATACGATTCCAGCCCTGCGGACCGAATTTACGTCTTTCACAGATAACAGCATGGAAATAGCACAAGCTAAACAGAATTGTTTTAAATTCATTCTCACGACTACACATTTCAAGTGTGTCTTGATTGAAATTGTTCAGGGCTTTGTGTAAATTAGCAAACATACCAGTTGGAGGTTCGTTTGTAATCTTAATTGCATTTTCCAATATGCCCTGTGGTATAATATGATATTCTGGATCACCGGCTGGTTCAGCACTGATAAACAACCGATAATCTGCATGTCCAGTTTCAGCTGACTCCTCCATTAACTTCTCTAGCGTTGGTAACCATTTAGCGACTAGGTGAACATTTTGCAGCACAACCCAGTGTCCTTCTCTTGAGGCTAACTCCATTGCTTTCGCTGCTACAATTTCTTGACCTTGACCTAAAGATACATTATGGAAGTTTTGATTATCTCCAGTGAAACCAAGTTTACGCCCAAGTGCTTCAACTTCTTTCAGTGGATCAACACCAGGTGATAGGATGAAGAATATAGGTATAGTTGGACCAGATTCTTCAAATGACTTAACAAACGATAACCCACCTCCTTCAATGTACTTCTGGCCTAACTTTTGTCCCACAAACTCCGTAATCGCATACGTCATACGATCTGGTCTCAGGGCACGTAATATGCACAATATTTGCAGTGGGGTTTTATTCTTCCATTCTTGTGGTAATTTCTCTTTTTCTGGTGTTTCACCTTCAACTAACTTTTTCCAACGTTTCGCTGAACCTTCAATATCTTTGTCCAGATTACGGAAAGCCTCCATATTTGACAAAGCTTTAATACCACCCCAACCATTGTTTGTTATAAAGTCAACCGGTGAGGTTAGATTAGGTATGATTGGAAATCTTAACAAGAAGTCTAATTCCACTGGGTTGATTTCATTCGAAATGGTCATTATTTGAAATACCATTTGCGCTGTAAATATCAACTTGTCTTTTTCAAATAAACCTCTCGAAGTGTACATGTAAACAGAAAACGTAATAGAATCAAGCAGATTTTTTACGCGTGTCTGTATATCCTCAGCTGCTTCTGCTCTATCCATAGCAACTTCAAATACACTACGAAATGCTTTCAATGAGAATTGATACATTGGATTGATTTTGTTTAACTCATTCAATATGAAATATAATAATGAGGCGCGACATGCTGCTGGACGGTATAGTTCACGTGCTTCATTTATTTGTACTTCAGTAATTTTAGCTTGTGCAACTTTCTCAACGATTTCAATAGCTGTACGCTTATTAGTTTCTAAATTTTCCACCAGTGCATAATCACCAAGGAAATTTCCTTCGGCAGCTGATAATCTTGCTAATAAACTATCCTCTAGCTCTTTCAGTGTGATCTTAAATTCATTCTGTTGTCTTGTTAGGTCGGCTTTCAACTGTTCTAAATCTGGTCTTTCTTTACTGACAACACTGGCTAGTAGCTGATCCTCTAAACCATCACGTGTTACAGTGAAGTTAATCAGTGTAGTCTGTGCTTGCATTTCTGGTTTGTAATGCGGATTGGCTAACTTCGTCTGTAGAATCAATCGAAAGTCTGGACTGTATTCAACCTCCTTATCGCCAAGACGTATAGCTCTACCTTTTTTAATGGTTCTTCTACCAAGTAATGGATCAAGTACAGGATCGACAGACTCTTCAATGTTTTCTAATAATACTGTATTGCCGGCTGAAATAGCCCGTTCAATATGATCTAGGTAACCTTTCTGACCTAAACGAATCACTTTAAGATCAGTTCCGTAGCGCGTTTTTATCCACTTAAGACCTTGCAATTGTGGATCAATCATAAGTGGCCAACGTTCAGCATTTGTCAGTATGGTGGCATTTTCTATAGACATCCTGTCTGATGGTAGACCTTCATTATTCCATGTAGCTACCACAGCATCATCGACTAACATATCTAGTGGATCCAAATCTGGCGTAATAGGTATTGATGGGCTAACTGATTTCAAAAATGGTATCCAATGTTGATCCAGTAATTCACTTCGATAACGTTTTGTAAAGCAACCAACGTAGGACAGGAATGCCGCAGTTAACAGTACGTCACCTGGTAGAGTGATAGCTTGTTCTTTAAACAATTTTACTTGTTGTGCCCAACGTACATTTTCTGAAGCTAAACCGCCTACTAAACGATTGGCTAGTTCAATTGTCTTGTAGGTTAACTCTGCTTCATCTTGGCACTTCTGTTTCTCCATTGTAGCTATTTCGAATTCATCTGTTAACTTTTTCAATTTCTCTTCTAAATCTTTAATCTTCTTCTGGATAGTTTCCAACTTTTCAGTTGCCTGACGTAATTCTTCGTTAGCTGCGTCAAGTGCATCACGTTTAGGCTTAACATCACAATAAATATTATAAAACTGTACAATATTTATTACCCATGAACAGAGGCCAGCAGCTGCTGTCGACTTATTCCTTATGAACTCTGGATCGAATTCTGGATCTCTCAGGTAATCTTGAACTGCTTTTAAACAATTTTCATGAATATTCTCCTTATCATAATTGATTAAATTATCTAAGAATAAGTCAATTTTACCCATGATGCCAGCTTTAGCTGCCTTCCAACTACGATCTTTTGGTACTTTACCGTCTGGTGCCATTAGCACCATAACAGCTGCTGTCACATTAATCACAGCGGCTGGTGGTGAGCCGAACGACTTCATTTCAGTCAAATTATTCTTATTAAGCGTATTCAACGCATCTTGTGCTGCTTGCAAGGCTGGTTCTGCTTTCGCCAAATCAATTTCACAGTCTTTTTGTTTTTTTGAGACTTCAGTTTTAATTTTTGCCACCTTCTCTTCTTCTTGATTTGCAAATAATTTCTCTTCTTTGACTTTTTCTGTTTCAGCACCGACAATAGTTAACAGCTTATTGGCGTCTTCATTTTTCTGTGCCAGTTCAGTTTCTTGTGCAGCTAGTTTGGCTTTTAAATCATCAACTTGTTGAGCGGTACTTTCTAATTTTTGTAGACCATTTTCTAAACGTGTCATTTTACTAATTAAATCAGAATACTTTTGATTTAGCATATTTTCATACAATTGTATTTGTTCTAGAAATGATTTAGGCGTTGTATAGTTGTAACGACGTTCATTTTGCAGGTATGTAACACTGATATCATTAACTGATTGATGTGCGAATGACATGAATTCAGCAACAGACGGCCGAATATTCTCAGGCAATAATTCTATGCTGCCTAGAAAGCGTTTAGATACAGACAGCAAAGCTTCTTTAGGCCATTCATGGAACCAGTCGATCGATGTACAGTTGACGATAGCTGGGAATTTTCTAGCTCGAACACGTAGTGTTGAACCAACCGGTGAAAAGCAGAGGACAACTTTAAGTAGACGGCGTACTTTATCAATGAAATAACTCCAACAATTTTCACGTGTATCTTGTATACCTTGAGATTTTACTTCACCTCTCATTCCATTGATAACATTTTCAACTTCATCGTCTGGTAAAAGCTCTGGTATATCACCGGATGCAAGCAGATCATTGATAAGCACTAAAAATTTCTCCTCAGCCACTTGGCTATCAGTCAGCAGGAATACTGTCCCAGTATTTTTTAAGCCAGCCTTCAAATAGAGACTAGCTAAATCAGCCTTCAAATCGGTTATTGCATAACCCTTGCGTAGGGTAATCTGAAAAACTTCCAGTGAACTAATGAATGCAGCCAGTCTTGACAAAGACTGTTTACCTGAACCACCAACACCAATCAATAATGCATTACCACGTGGTGCTTCCAAGATACGATTGATGCGTAGTACATGAGCAATAGCATCTTCGAATAAGACTAAATTCATCACTGCATTCAATTCATTATAATTGTCTAAAGCTTCATTAAGCAGCTTGCTTAATTCAGCCATATTTGTAACTGGTAGGTATTTTGGTTCACCAATTCCTTGTGTAAAATGACAATACAAATTTGGTCGAGCGAACAATACACTTTCATCCATATCTTCAAAGCATTTCTTAGTAATATCCATTAGAATCTTTTCAAATGTTTCAACATCTTCACGTTCAATTAATTTATCAGAATATACACGTTCACATTCATGCATCCATATACGTACTAAATCAGTTGGTTGTCGAATACATTCATTTCCAGAAAACAATATACCCTATTTTTTTAAAGAGAAAGCACAAAAAAAACAACCCAGTTTATATGAATTTTAATTTAGAAGAAGATAGATTAATCACTAAAAATCTTAGCTAGTCCTCAATTCTGGACTGAGAAACACTGATCAAATATTCTGAAACACATGCATACTTATGTGCAATCAACACTGACCATATTTATTCAGGGGTGTTGGTTTGCAGGTATTTGATTGAATTGGCTACAGGATTTAATCATGAGCTGGGAGCAGTGCTAGATAGCCGTTTCCCCCGCCTAGTTTGGGACTCTTCACAGTATGTACCCACCGCCAGGGTTCAAGCCCAGAACCTCTCTATTACAAGGCGAAGTCATGGGCTTTTCGGTCAGGTCCCGATGGCTTAGTGGTCTACGAGACCATGTTGTAACAGGAAGCTCCTGGGTTTGAACCCCGGTGGGTGCGTGCTGATGAGGTGGAACCCCAAACTAGGCAGACGAAACAGCTGTCTGGCAGTACTCTCAGGTGGTTTTCAAGTGTTTCCCTAACCAATGTCAGCTCATGATGAAATCCTGTAACTGACCGTATTTATCGAGCTGAAGACAGCGTTCCGTTCAGTCGGCTGAGAGGCAGTGTCTGGTTGAGAAGATTGTATAAGTAATTGTTATTGTAACAAATAAGGTAATCTACTCTGAGTTATGCAGTCACCCAAGCGTATTTGTAGAGTTATCATCTGAAGTAATGCTGACCTATGTGTTCATCGGGGAGGCTCATCATCATCATTCTTATTTAACTTCATGACAAAAGAACAAATGGATGTTATCTTCATAGACTTCAATGTTTCAGAGATTGACTTGATACTAGGGAACTGTTTCTTGACATAGAATACGCAGATGACATAGCCTTTTGACCACATTAGGCGAAAATCTAAGTATGTTTGGTGTGGGATTCACCCCTGTTAAACCGTTGTGCACCAATTCCTGGTTTAAGGATAGGTAGTGAAATAGCTTAGATGTGCTAACCACCTTACTTATTTGAGGGGTTGCATTAGCAGTAATGCACCAGGTGATGACGAAATCTCAGCATGTATACAAAAGACTTGTTTGGCATATGACAATTTGCGTCGCTTTTTGGAACCAGTGTGTTGATCGACTACCCATCAGTGAGGGTTGGTATTATGCAGAATTTCACCCCATCCTACCTTATGACTTTGAAAAACAGCCTATGAACTTCGGAGATTTGATAATGCAAGCGGGTTTTGGTAGGGGCATCCTCGTTAGGCGGAGTCATGCGATAAGTAATAATGCAGTTAGACCAAGGCTGTTAACCGAGTAGGGAAAGTCAATTGATGGATTGGTAAAGTCCAATCGGTTTAAACGGCTGGGATGTATGTCACGCATGTTACGAATCATCTCCTTTCTTCAGATCAACACAACAGAAATCAATAAAGCCAATGACTTATCGTGGCTTACAGAATGCTAAGAATCAAATGTCGGAAACACTCAGTGATATAACTCAAAATTGTTAACAGTCGGGAAGATGTAATGACTCTTCAAAATCTCCCTGATTCTAGTCTCCAGTAGTCTTTGTTTAAATATTTCTCCTCTGCACTCCTACATCCACTGTAATTTCATAACATTTCTTGTCCTTGTTCTTTATATGCTTCTCCACAGTGTGTTAAATAAAAGCGAGACACTTCTGTGTAAACCTATGCACAGAGAAGTCAGTCACTCAGCACTTATCGGTATAAAAACCAAGCTAGAATTCGATGGGTGACAGGAGAAGTAGTGACATTTTTATCAGGTCGTCTTTTCACCTCACCAACAAAAGTGATGTATTGTGTTGAGGAGTGGAATGGAAAGACTGTCACTTTGTAACGATCAGTTCAATAACCTCATCTATCAACCGTCAGCTTGACATATTCATCAACTATTACTCAACTTTCGCATTGGTCGAGGAGTATTGGCTACATTTTTGGTTAAACTGTAGTATTTATTTCATATACGACTGATTTCTGATTCCTTCTATCTAGTCACAGGTAGTCAATGTGATTGTTATTTAGAAAAACAAAAATAAGCATTGGAATGATTCACTGCGTACATTATATTAACTTACCTGGAAAATGTTCGACAAATCACGTAAGTTAAATATGTAATGGAATTTAATTGCAGTCGGTAGAAATATACTCGCCACTTTAGCATGCAGTAGTAAAGCACAGTCAGTTA